ATTGAGGATGACAAGGATTGCACTGACATTACCCATGTTAAGTGCAATCAGACATGTTGCCTTGCGTACTCGCTCCCAGGAGCACACTTTCCCTCAGCTTCCTAGAGTGACGTTACCCAAACATTTGTAAACTTTTTGAAACTTTTTTAAACTGTTTAGCTCGAAAAACATTTTTTTTTAACAAATTAATCGAAACAGGAGTCCCGTAATATTCTTAACTTTTTCCTGTACTTTAATCAATTTATACCGCTACGTGTCTAATTGTTATTATTATTATTATTATGGAAAGTCTGTGTATGCAGTGCGACCTAAAAGATTTTTGTGCAGCCTTTCGTCTTTCCCTTTCGCTTACTCATCTGGTTTTGAAGCCTACGAACGTTGTTTTTGCTCCCTTTTTGGCTAGAATATACGCCTTATCATTACCTTCGTGGCCTTTGTGCACTTTATTCCCGATATCCATAGCAGAGTCACAGAATTCTTTATCACAAAAATATTGAGAAGATTGAAACAATCCCAAACTATCCTTTAATTGGAGTGTGAATGACATTAGTGATTTCAAAGGTGTTTGACTGTCTGATAGGATGCATATGCTGGAACCGCGAGTGCCCTACGTATGCATTGTCTAACAGTTTAGGGCGTGAATCTCTGCCTGAAAAACTAAAGCTACTTAGACCATTGGTATTGCTTTCTAGAAATTTGGCCTTACAATTCCCGATCCACCGTTGCCGTTTTCTAATTTTGACTCGTCGGTCTACCATAACTATGAGCCCTCTATAAAATCTACTTTGCTATTTCTGCATTAAGTGCACTCCCTTATATCCACTTTGACGTGTTTGAAGAAACAAAATGTTCTAACTACATTATCGAAGTTCGTGAGACACGGTGTGTTCCAGAAGATTTCCAGGATCTTTAGGTATATGTCCCTTTGGGTTACCTTTTTTAAATTGGTGAAAATTGGATAGCCTTAATGACGCACAGACTACCGTTCTCCTAACCGCAAGGTAAGGAGGATGGACTCCTGTAATCATTCCTACGCCTGCTCAGAACTCTAATAATTGAACCCAATTTATTATTCTTGTAACTTGAACTTTGAACACTCTGTAGGTTAACATTGAACAGCTGGTTAATTGTTCTTAGAAATGGAAATGTTTTAAAGAATCGAGCTGATTAATTGTTCTTAGAAATGGAAAATTAAATTTTACAGAGATAAAAAGGAGCAAATTTTTTGCTTAGGATCTCCTCTCACCTTTATGCTGTAAGTATAAGTGCAAAAATCAGCAGAAATTGATATTATAGTATAATAGGTAATTGTTCTTCATTGCACTGTACTATACATACTCGTACAAATAATGTTATACTAAAATATATGCTGTCATCTTAGTGTCCTGTCAACAAATTTTCTACGTTTTCTAAGATATTTGCAAAAACGCTTTTAGGAAGAAGATTTACGACGAAGAGCGATTTCGCCATCACATCGAAATATCCGACTATCAGGAGCTTTTAAAAACATATCAGCTCAGTTGTTTAAAAGGATTGAACGCAATTAAAAATCTTTTTAATTTGAGTTTGCTGAGCTCAAACTTGCAACTAGTTTTTCTCCTAGATATTTAGGTCTCCGGCAATATTGAGTTAAAATATGAATATTGGGGTTAAAAATTAATTTTTATTTCAAAATAATTGAATTTCATAAATTAGGGTTTCGTTTCTCTAAAACCCTAATAAAATTATTTGAACCTACCAATATTCATGGAATAAACTTCTCACCTGTTGGAGTGAACTACCTCGCTACAAAACCCTAACAAAACTCTTTGACGCTACCAGTTTTGATGGACAAAACTTCTCTGATGTTGGAAAGAACTCGTATGTACCTAGATAGGATTAGTGAATATTTTAATAACTTAAGCAAAATGAAATCTAGGTGTAGTTGTCTTGCATTTGGTACCTATTTAGATGATGAAGTTTACCCTATAGAAGATATGATTAACTTGCTATCTCATCAATAAACTTTACATTCTAATGAAGCAGTAGCGAGGCGTCAGCTTTTTGGCAATGTGTTCACAATTTGATCAAAACTGAATTCCAACTATAACGTATTACCCTTACTCCTGAGTTTTATCCTTTCCACAAGCAAATAGCATACAAGACCAACAAAAGAATTTATTTAAATATTCGCAGCCTGTGATCCACTGGTTTTTATGTACCATAAAGCCGACTTACCATAGATTTCGACATTTTTACATCAGGTACCAAATTCTTCATATCTGGAGTTGGTCTATTCATTTTATGAATTAAAATCTTTTTTTCAGAAGATCGTTTAAAAAAAGATATTTAAATCAATCCTTAATCACATATTTATCCATTTCTAAATATTATTTTTCACTTCAAATTTCTTTAATTTTTTTCTTTACTTTTACCATTTGCTAGTATAAAATTGCAATTATGCCTTTGTTTTTGATTTATTTCCAACCTCTACATAAGAGTAAGAAACTCTCATACATTCATTTACTCTTTTACTTTATATTTACTATGTGTAGTTCAGTTTTTTACTGAACCATTTGCCCATATAAAACAGCAACCGTAACTTTGATTGTATTTGCACGCTTTGTATGAACTTATGGTTCAGTTTAGTCGACTGAACCTCTAGTCAAATGTAAAGCGATTTTCGCTCAGTCATTTCTTTTCTCTTTTGTATTTACTTTGCATAACATTGGAAGTTCACTTTTTTTATTGAACCGCTTGCACGCAGTAATGTGAGAGTTATAATTATTTTACGTACTTATTTTGCGAGGCTTGTTTTCTCTATTATTTTTATATTTGTTTGTATGTTTTGTGTTTATTCAATACTGAACATAGTCCCAATGTGGATGTTATTTCATTGGCAGCGCAGTGTATTTTTTATTCTGAACCTTAGTATATTTTAAGAGGAATTTATTTGAAATAAATTATTTCTCTTTTATTAATTATAAGTAATGTTGGGTGTAACTAACATATGTATGTGTGGTTTTGTTTGTATTATACGTTTTGTGTTTATATTAATATGTTTGGAAAAGCTATTATAAAAAATGTTAAATAGCAAAATAGCGAGATTATTTACCTAATAAAAAAAAGATCTAAAAAGGAAGCTTTGTTAAGGTGTTCACTGAACCATTCGACGCCTCGCCTCTGTAATGAAGCATAATCCAGATTATTTGTGCATAACTAAATGTCAGGAAATTGGGTTATTGTCACAGATTACTTTAATCAAAAATAATGTATATACATGTATGTATATATATAGACATTCAAAGTTAAATTTTAAGCTTTTAACCCACAAAAAAAAAAAGAAAAAAAAAATTAAATTAAATAAAATGGCAAAGGTACAGAATGCCACTTAAAATCTCATTTGCTGCAAACAAATCACGTGTGCATGGTGCACATGCTAACGTCGGCAATTAGCGGGGAAAATCACACAAACAAATCTTTTTGTTAGAGCGCGTACCTGTTAATATGTACCGCAGTGTCTGCGTGTCGGCTTGTATGTGCGCTTGCAAAACAATAAAAACATAGAACCAGAACAAAACACAACATAAAAATGAAAGCAAGCAAAATAGGAGAGCACGTATATTTTCACATCGAGTCCCCCTCCCACACTGCACAGCACCACACGACAAAACAACACAAAAACACTTGTTGTTTCGTTGTTTTTAGCCCAAATGAAAGGAATTAAGGCCCTCGAAACCCACGGAAACTATTAAAAAAAAGATCTCTCTGGTTTATTTTTTTATTCTCTTATTTATTATTAAATTTAATAATAAATTCATGTTGACGTATGTCTTCATAGCCCTAATATGCGACCATTACTGCCCTCGATTAGCCAACTCAAAAGTGGAACTACTGCTTAGTTAAAAGGTCTCACTTACTTATCTTACTTATCCAATGTGTGTCCCGTATTTGAAAGCATTTTTTTGGATTTACTGCCAAACCTCACACCATGCTTAAACTTCCACCTTTAAGCGTGGGTTCAATGCGAAAGCCACGCTTTAAATTATAACCACAGGTCTATCATAATAACACCACACACTTTCCTGTCTTCAGTTTGACATAACTGAAAGTTCCTTTTTGCACAAATGCCTTCAATATCCAGAAATTGTGCAGGAGACGAGACTCATTGGGAAGTTCAAATTAATTCTCCAACACAAAGAAAATATCACAACAATTAAAAAAAAACTGCATGAGGCAATTACATTCAAAAGGCATATGATGCATGTCATGCAGTGTGTCCTTGCGTGCGTATGTGTATTTATTATTGCTGTTAACGGTACGACACAAAAGCTACTGTCAATTACATTTTCCGTTGGGAACCTAAAAACAAAACGTTTCATTTCGTTCCACCGCCTGTGCTAATGTCAGCCTGTTTTTGTTTAAGATTCGCCTTCATTCCTGACTCTGCTCAACTTAATATGTGTGTCACTAAAAACAAAGGGTTTCAGCCATAAATTACCACAAAATTTACACTTTATTTAAAATTACTGGGAGCATTTCTGTGTCAACGCTCCGAAGTCCTGGAAAATTGCATCGTTTGACGTGTACACAAGTTTGACTTTATATGTGTAGCAAACATAATGGCAACATACAAGCAATTCTGTTATGGTTGACCAATTTGGGCTATCCCAGTTGAAAGTAAAAAGATATAACACAATTTTAAGAATCTGCATACTAACAAAGCTCTGGGTTAACGCTATTTTTTCTTTATGAAGTCGTGAACATTTTCCTCAAGTATTTATAAACATTTTTATGATATAAATTAAAGCCATCAATTTCCATAAAATGGAAATTAAAAAAAGATTCCGTCTTACAAACTAAAAGCGTTTTATGCGGTTTGCACATTAATCGTGTTCAATCCTTTTAAAACATTAAACACATTCAATGTTTTTTAAACATAAATATTCAATGTTTTTTAAACATTGAAAATATCAAATTCGTTTAATGCACTATTTACATTAACTCGTTTAATGCACTATTTACATTAACTCGTTTAATGCATTATAAACATTAAACTCGTTTAATGCACTATTAACATTAAACTCGTTTAATGCATTATTAACATAAAACTCGTTTAATGTACTATTAACATTAAACTCGTTTAATGTACTATTAACATTAAACTCGTTTAATGCACTATTAACATTAAACTCGTTTAATGCACTATTAACATTAAACTCGTTTAATGCACTATTAACATTAAACTCGTTTAATGCACTATTAACATTAAACTCGTTTAATGCACTATTTACATTAAACTCGGTTAATGCACTATTAACGTTTAACTCGTTTAATGCACTATTAACATTAAACTCGTTTAATGCACTATTAACATTAAACTCGTTTAATGCACTATTAACATTAAACTCGTTTGATGCACTATTAACATTAAACTGGTTTAATGCACTATTTACATTAAACTCGTTTAATGCACTATTAACGTTTAACTCGTTTAATGCACTATTAACATTTAACTAATTTAATTCACTATTAACATTAAACTCGTTTAATGTACTATTAACATTAAACTCGTTTAATGCACTATTAACATTAAACTCGTTTAATGCACTATTAACATTAAACTCGTTTAATGCATTATTAACATTAAACTCGTTTAATGCACTATTAACATTAAACTCGTTTAATGCACTATTAACATTAAACTGGTTTAATGCACTATTAACATTAAACTCGTTTAATGCACTATTAACATTAAACTCGTTTAATGCACTATTAACATTAAACTCGTTTGATGCACTATTAACATTAAACTCGTTTAATGCACTAATTAACATTAAACTGGTTTAATGCACTATTAACATTAAACCCGTTTAATGCACTATTAACATTTAACTAATTTAATGCACTATTAACATTAAACTCGTTTAATGCACTATTAACATTAAACTCGTTTAATGCACTATTAACATTAAACTCGTTTAATGCACTATTAACATTAAACTCGTTTAATGCACTATTAACATTAAACTCGTTTAATGCATTATAAACATTAAACACGTTTAATGCACTATAACCGTGAACTCGTTTATTGCGTCGTGTTTTATATATTAAGCGCGTTGAATGTGTTTTATACAATTAATACGTTACATTGTTTTATACATTAAGTGTGTAAACAGATCCACATTAAATGCGTTAATTGTTTTTTTGAATTATAATAGCTTAATGTTTATTGAAATTAAACTCTTTAAAAAATTTTTTAAATTGAACTGATTAAATATGCTTTAAATATTGAATCCGTGTTAATCATTAACATCGTTTAATATATTTCATGCATGACACTTGATTAATGTAATTTAGCAACGAAATTTGATTTCGAAACGCATTCTTAATAACACGTTAAAATACGTAAAGAGAGCATGTAAATTCTACATATTCTTAGGTTTATATCAATCAAACTTAGTATAATTTTATGCAATTCAGATTAAATAACTTAAACATTTTAAAAATATATATGTTCGAACTTTAGTATTCAGTACACTATAACAGTTTTATCTAAACTTCTTCCCCATGTGGTGGTGGGACAAAAACACTACCTCAGGAGGTATGTGCTTGTTGTTAAGAGCGCAAATCAAAGTAGCTTGCTACGATTCCTGATAAAACGATCTCTTTGCTAGCAGGCTAAATCTAGACTCTAGGGATTTAGGTGGGTGCTTACGCACATCTGCTCAGGTCCTGCTAAGTTAACCAGCCTTCGGGGAGTTCGACTATCTATTTGGACAACTGTTAAGTGATAAAAACGGTCATATCTGTTATTATCGCTTGACGCAAATAGTCGCGCAGGGGAGAAGGTAAACACCGTTTTAGTGAATGATTAGAGAGATTGATGGAATATTTTTAAGTTTAAAACTTTAACTTAAATGTCATATACAACAACATTTAACGGCTTAATACTGTGTTTCCACTATTGACTTAGTAAGTTGCTTAAATAACTTTAAGATTTTGTCGTTTCCATTGACACGAGTTACTTATTGCATGTCAAAGATCTTTTATATGTTAGAAAGTTCTTAGAAAATTTCAAGAGAATTTCTATTTATGTTAATTAATAATTGTACATTTTTAATTAATTAGAACAAAGATTTCGTTAAATACTAACTTTCTGAACCCGTCTGTTTACAGTTCAGCTATCGTTTGTTTACATTTTGCATATACAACAGATGACAAATATTTCAAATTTTGGAATTTTCCCTTGTGGGAAATTTATTTTTATGGGTTGCGTAGGACATTTTTTGCCTTTAATGAGTTGATTTATTTATAGTGGGCTTATTTCTATGAAAGTTCTGATAAATTATCCTCATTAGCGGCTCTAATGAGCGAAACTGCCTAAATGAGATCACTAGAAACATGGTATTAGCAATACAGCTGTGGAAAGCATTATAAGCACTAATTTTTTCTTTCAGAGCAGCAAAACATTATTTACAACTTACGAAAGAGAGCATGTGAAGCAACAAAAATTCTCTTAAAACTTTCAGATTTGGTCAAAAATCAGGCTATTGTGAATATTCACTGGAAATAACTTACAAAACTCCAGTCATCCTTTTAAATCATATGAGCATTTCCTTTACTAATAAATTCAAATATATAAATAAATAAATTAATTTAAATATATGAGATAAAAGTTCATACGATTGTCCTTTTATTATTCCTTTTTTTTCTATTGTTTATTTTAATTAATTTTTAGTTAAATTAAATCATATTATACACACAACAAAAAAGACATTTAATGTATTTTAAAAGTGATGCCAATTTGCTTTAACCCATTTTGGCCGGGATGGGTAGTTAACTACCTCTTGGGCCAATGTGTTAATACTTTTTGGTTGAGTTTGACATTTAGTAAAATGACACAAAATTATTCCGCGATCGTTCTGTTTTAATATTTCTCGACGTTCCACGACTTTTAAAGGAGTATAATTTGGGTATGGGAGGAGGGGACCTTCACGACAATGCATTAGCAAATTATCATGTTGGAATTCGTGGAAAAAAATGGTGGTGACCTCTTTTTACAAACACTTTATCCAATATGTTGGTCAACGCATGGAAATTGATTTACTTTGTTGCAAAGTTTGAAAACACCACACCCTTGTCACAATTACATTTTCGATCTCAAGTAGCTCGGCAATTCTTTTTGGCAGATAAACTTGCTGATACACAAAGTAATACTTGTAGAAGTAATACCAAATACTGTGAAAATACGGATACTAAACATATTCCCAGTAAAAGAATGGATGGCACTCCACCAAGGCGATGCAAAGTATGTGCATCAAAAACGCTACATATTTGCAAAAAATGTGACATTAATTTACATCCAAAATGTTTCGAGAAATATGTAAAACATAAATAAATTTTCAATCTTTAAATACTTCTTTTAAAAAAACGTCATTTGCTTTAACTAAATATAATTTTTACCAAAACTTATTTTTGTTCAGAAATACTGTACACATTGACCCAAGGGGTAGAAAACTACCCCAATCATAACTCCAAAACCATTATAGGTAGACATAAAATTCAAACGAATATTTCTTAATTAGGTCTAAATTAACTAATGTTAAAAATTTGAACAAAAAATATTAACAGGATCTGGTACCGGGCCAAAATGGGTTAACCAGACTTACTACCATTTTTTTACAACTCTGAAAGAATAAATTACGGCTTATAATATTCTAGTTAACAATCTAAATATATATAACAATCAAATGCAATCCCATACCAAAAATAGCTGTTTAAACGCATTTGCAATAGCAGTTTGAAAGTATGTTCACAATAGTTACACATTGCAAAAATGCATTTGAAACAACGCACCAAGATTGTGAACTGGCCTTGTGCATTTTTGTTATGTTTATTTGTTTTTTATTAACAAATAATTTATGTTTTTGAAGTTTATTTACCATTACTTAAACTTTAGCAGACATATGTATAAGTAAATTCAAATATCTTACATTATTTCTTCAAGGCATGAAATGCCTGCATTTGAAGAATATAAAGAACGCAAAAAAATTCACACATTTTTACTTACAAAAAATTGTTTTTAAAACTTACATTAAATATATTTATTTTCAGCTTCAACCTATTTCATCTTTCAATATTGGAAAAAGTATTATTTACACGCTATAAGTGGTTGAAGCCCCATGGTCACATTTTTCCGGATATTGGAAGGCTGTAGATAACCACAATTGAGGCTTTTAAAAACAAAGCTTATAAGATTGATTGGTGGAACAAGGTGTATGGTTTTTATATGAGTTGTGTGCGTAGAGACGCAATCAAGGAGCCGTCTATTTCTGTTGTCAATGCAAATCATTTAGTTACAAAGTCTTGCTTAATAAAAGAAGTGGATTTCTATACAATACAAAAGTCCGATTTAGAAGTCGCTTCAAATTTCCGCTTGAAAGTAGAGCGTGATGACTATCTTCACGCTTTTGTTACTTATTCTGATATAGAGTTCAGTGAGTGCTTTTTTCCAATTAAGTTCTTGTGAAATGTCTGACAAAAGAGTTTTCATGTGTTGAAAAGATAATGATGTACAGCGAATATTTAAAACTTTGAAACATAACTTTGAGAGCGATACTACAACACATTCACACATTGTCCATCCGATGAGCTGTATCGCACTATTCACATAGTTAAAATTTAAGTTCAGAAATTTTGTTCTCATTTCGTGAAAATAGATAAAAATGCTTCTGCTTGCAAGGTGTTTAATCCATTTGGGATATTTTTTAATATTCAAAGAATATTTTACATTTTTTTGGTAAAAATAAAGTAAGAGTAATCTTTCAAATAAATATTAAACTTTTCTCATGTACTTAAACTTGTGTTATTTTACTATTTACTATGGAAATTTTGCCGTAAAATTTCAAGTCTGTAATTACCTGGTACTTAATGAGTTAATTCGGTAGTCGTTTCTTGAAAACACTTTAAAAAAAGTCCACATTTTCAATGAGAGAATTAGGATCATATGAGACAGAAGGATTTTCGGTTCTAACAATTGGCGGTAGAAAGCCGTTGATCGAGGTGGCTGACAGAAGTTGTAGAGTTTTGCAAGAGATAACACACATCTGTAAATACTGACTAAATAATCAATTTCTTGAAATGAATTTAATTATTTTATTATTCTCGTTATTTTGCATTCTCTTTAGGTCGAACCTCTTTGGGTAAATAATATAGATTTGAGTTATGTGTGTGGAAATTTTAATGAAATCGAGATATTTACAATATGAAGTATCTTTAAGAATGCAATGATTTCCACATCAAAACTTCTTCGAAACTCTTTCCACAGATAAGATGAATCAAAGGCATTCTTTTAGTCTGTACCTTTGCACCTTTGCTCTGCATAAATACGAGCACTTTTAGTTACACTGCTTATTCCTAATAAATAGAACGTAAGCATTAACGAACACACAACACAGCACAGAGCACAAGAGCATGAGAGCACAAGAGCTTGAGAGCACAAAGGCGCACTAATACAACAAAACTGCATCATATTGCACACTTGCTTAATTAAAGTGAAATACGAAGCTAAATTAATTTACAAAATAAAGAAGAGCAAATCAAAAGAGAAGACTTCATACACTGTGGGGTGTGCATAACAAAACAAGAAAAAAAAAACAAAAAAAAAAAGAAAAAGCAAATATAAAGAAGCGCATAAATAGAAAAAGTAAAATTTAAAACAAATAAATAAATAAATTAATAAAAGAGGAACCGAAAAGCAAAAGCTAACAAGTTAAATTGCAAATATACAAAATGGGTTATATTTCAAATGAAAACTTTTCGTTTTCGTTTTCGT